TTAAAGCGACCGCCTATACGTTGTTTCATGTCATGCAGTATTAAGTATTACTGAGTTGAGTATTTTATCAATTTTTATGACCTAAATCCTAATTTCCCTGCAAACAACGTACTGTGAGAATGCACGTCAGCACTCAGCATACGTCACTGCAAATAAACACTAAACAGTGTTAAAAATTCTACGTAGCTACCAGACGAGTGAGACGACATGATACAGAAAAGTTTGTCTATTATTCCGGGTTTCAAAAAATCCATATATATATAGTATAAATAAAATTGGTTAGAAAAACTTGTGATATATAAACCTGTAAAACTGTGGCTTATACCGACAATTGCGGCATGCAAATGCGACAATTTCAAAACTGTCCGACATGTTGCACCATGCAACAATGTCACATTGTACATATCTACGCTACTCAGACCGTCGCCAGATTTTCAGGAGTTGATACTGGCCTTATTTGAAAAAAATTTAGACGTGGGACCGTGTAATTTCTTTACGGGATCGAATACAAAATGCGTAAGTTGAATTTTCTCTTATCAAATCTATAGAACGCCGCCATTTTGAATTTATTTGGTGAAAGCTTAACGCGCATGCTTGCATGTCAGCCATGTTGTACTTCATTTCTGTCCAGTGGACAACGTTACGGTCGAAGGTTTTAATTGTCAAACCCATGCAGATTCAACGTCTCATTGTCTATCGAGATATACTGTATACAGCTATTTCAATTAAGGTTGTTCACGAGCAAAGCGGAAAAGTCGAATACGAGCGCGAAATGCTGCTGGGAATCGCTATGAAAATCCATTAAATTTTTCGCGATTGTGGCCAGCAGCCTGTCGCGCTCGTATTCGACTTTTCCGCTTTGCTCGTGGACAACCTTAATTGAAATAGCCTGGTCTGGAAGCCCGCAAACATCAAAGCTACAGAATAGAAGACGTTGAACTGTACCTCACTCAATGTGCACAAATACTTTGTCTCAATTTCATTAACATTATTCGTCGTTTTTGCACGTTTACCTCCAATAGGGGGAACGATTATTATATAATACGAAAGTAGAATGAGCCAAATCACCGTGACTGCCGGCGCACAAACTAACACAAACTCGGACAAAAAAATAACACAATGAATTTTGTTTAGTTTCCATACCATCGTATCTTCATAAGCTATGGGTATTGGGCCAACTGTTGAAGTTGCCGGGCCTTTAGATCTTTAGAACCGGGGCCTTTAGATCTTTAGCAAGTGAAAGACAAGGACTGATTGAATCAATCAAGCTTTTATTAACTGAAAAAATATGTAAATTTACATTTGTGTTCTTTCCCGAAAATGCTATTCCAGGAGCCATGTTAAGGATTCGTGCAGTAACACAAAAGGGAAAACACGAAACTAAATTACATAACTATTATATTTTTTAGATACCTTTGAAAATCGGATAAAACAGTCTCAAAAGTCTTACTTTTCAAAACATCAGGAAGGAAAAGCATTTTCAGTTTAACTGTATCTGTAGTTCAAGAGTCATGCAAAAGTATTCAAATGTTTTCAATAAAACAGATAAGACGTGCATGATATTAATAATAACGTTTCAATTTGACGTAATTTTATCACAGCATCTATATTGTAGAACCGAATTTAAGATATCCCAAATTATTGTTCACAAGTTTAAAAAAAGTCCTATATGACATTGTGTATAATGAGATCACTGTATTTTAATTTTTATTCTCGACTTCATGCGTCTGAATATTTATTGGTGTTGATGAAATGGCCTTTTATCTAGCCGCTGTAGTTATTCCAGTTTTCAACATTTTTTGTCAAACATTTATTTTGCCATATATTCTTTATATATAGTCTTTTAATCTTTTATAATCGTTTCATAACTTTGGAAAGTTGGAATAATCATGTGTTGAAGTTTACATAATATATGTTTCTATACTTATATATAGCTAAATATACATCTTGAATTTACTATTCCGCGTTATAGGAGATCCACAGTTTTATGTTTCTGAACCGCAGGCTAATGTTTCTGATATTTTCAAATACAGCAAACAGTTTGGAACCATGCACGTAGGCTAATTGGAGTGAATTCGTCTCTCCATACCCGATGTGGTAGAATACTTCATCCATCTAATATATAATTTGTGTTTCATTATTTGTGATACTGATAGTCTGTATAACTGTATTGTGTCCATCACTTTTAATAGCAAAACCTGTAAAGTAAAACTATAAATGCTGTTCTTGGCAATGCAACTGAATATCCCGGGTATCATCAGTATATAGCAGGCTTGCGGGCGGATTTTTTTTATTACAGAAACAAATTTAGTAAATATTAAAATCACGCATCACAATCGTATGGTCTACAGTATATGGAAAAATATTCATTAATTGGAATATCCGTCCCATGTTCTTCAGTACGAACAGCACTTATACACGTGCATCTAATAGTTAACATATATATACGTGCTTGCATCTATAGGAAATCGAAACAGTATAAAACATAACAATCAATTGCAAATGTGGTTGACAAAATAAAAAGGCCTATACTACTATAGTTGCGTATATAGTCGCCGTAAGACGCCTAAAATCAGCTTAAGTCGCACGTAATCGCAGTTATATAGCTACAGTTGGTTGGGTTATCTAGACCGATCGATGTCAAGAAAAGGTGGGTTCAACGCAAGTTTTGACTGCTGAAAACAATAAATTTTAATTCAATTAAACGTCCGTTCGGCACGAAAAACAGTTGCGGGCGCTGATGCTAAACCGGGATATTTTTTGCATGGTTCTATCAGGATTTTATTTATACTGCATGCCAGGATCGATTATACGAAAGCCGCATAGTGTTATCCACCGGATCAAGCTTTCTTAATTTGACTGGTATAGCCCAATTATAGTAGATAAATTTCAAGTTGCTTTCAGTGTTAATTATGGGATTAACCGGAGTTTTATAGCTTTTCAAGCATTTTGTAACGGTTGAAGAAATTATTATCCGTCCTGCTTACAATGGGCCCCAAGACTATTTTATTTTTTAGAACAATCGTGATATTAATTTACTTTCTTAACTGTGCTTATCCTACCCACCCTGTCAGCGTGAGACGGAACGGAGCACCGCGGGAGAAAACCCATGACTTTCGGCAGAGCGCCGACTGACTCTTTTCGCATATCTTGAGTGGACAACGAGACAGAATCAAATGCACGATCTCGTAGGAAAAAGGCGCTTGCATGCTCTGCATAACGACTGCGCCAGCGAACCCCGAAATGCATTGCTCTGTTATGCATAAAATTGCTTTATTACTGTAACTATAAAGACCGTTTTTCACTTCAACTGTATATCGTACCGTAATGTGGTATATTTCTTTGCCGTTTCCTGAGCACTAGAGTGGAACTGATGACTTTGGCACGAAAGAAAATGCTACAGTACATTACGATGCGGTCGAAGTGGACAAGGGCCTTAAGTTGTTTTTGACCGACACAACTCTGACAAGATGACGCAGTCTGCCTGTGGCAAAGTTATTAAGTATAAGCAGACAGAATCTCAACTACAAACTGAATGATAAAATTACCGGCTTCAATAACCTATTGATACAATAAATTGAAACCAACTCGACATATTTTTTATAATTATACGAACTGAATCATATACATGCATAAAGTTTAATGTTCCTGCCATGTACTACTATATTACGGAATAACGGAATATAGCGTAAATTTAGGTCCATGATGATTGTGAGTGAATCTTTAGTGAAATTTAAACAATCTTTTGATCAGGTTTTGACCCTTGCTTATAAAAAAATATAAGAGCATAGTATTGAAAATAGGAAACAGGGCCGCCCAGAGGTTGGCGGGGGCCCGGGGCAAATTTTTTTAGGGGCCCCTATCAAAAAAAAATTCCCGGAAAAATTTTTTTCCGGATAACAACCTCCCCCCCCTCCCCCCCTCGCCAAACATTTTTCGGTCAGTGTACCATTTTAGGGGTAAAAATTTTTTTCCGGAGTACAAAATTTTGCCGGACGACTATGTTGCAAATGCTTTCGAGGGACTTTATCTCATTTTCATTATGCCAAAATTCGGTACCAAGAAAAGAGATATCTTGTCCTTTGCGCGGAAATATTTAACACACAAAAAAGGCTGGGGCCCTACAAAAATTTTTCAGGGGCCCCCAGCAACTCGGGGCTCGGTGCAATTTGCCCCCTTTGCCCCCCCCCCCTCTGGGCGGCCCTGATAGGAAACTGATTGACGACTGTAAACGCTTAAAAAAGTTTCTCCAGCGCATCGGCAGTGAAAGAACATCCCCTTTTATTTTTTTCCCTCCCAGTTCTGCCCTAGCATAAAAGTAATTGCAATCAAATCTGATATCTATTTATGAAGAAAATGTTAATAAATTCATATACCCAACTGTAGTTTTATTTTTCATTTCATGCAGTCTTGACATGTACTTACTCCCCTCAGTGTGCGTTTTAGATATCTCGTACAAATTCAGCTGGATCAGCTTCCCCCAATTTGCTTCAAATATCAGCCAAATTAGATAACAAACGTCAAAAAGCATTTCGCACTTTGCTATATACTCGCAATTAAAGCTGCTCAATTTTGTCATAATTACTTCTTAATACAAGCGTGAAGCTAGTTTACAAGCGAGTGAATATTGGAATTTGATATTACTCTTTAAAAAGCTTCCCTGCAATTTTCAAGGAAAAAATGAAATGTCAGTCAAATTTAGATAGTCAGAGTTTTGAACTCTGTAAATATTTTGAATAGGCGAAGGAAAGAGTACATTGTAGAGTAAACACTTATTAATCGGCTCTGTTTCCGAGCCTTGCTGTATAATATATACGTATATTTCATTTAACATTAGACGTCACACTATATCAGGTATATTTAAAAGAACAAAGGCACGCGGCATGATGAATGAGATTTTGCACCGGAAAAAAACCCACGTTTTGTTTGATTATTACTCAAATTAACATTAATCATACTCACTTCGCGATTTATAAATGGCTAATCCTTCTGTCATACGAATCAAACGAAACGGTGAAACAGCTGAGTGAGAACCTCCATTACGAAGAACACGAGTCGAAAATATCATATTACAAAATGTCTGCAAAAACACTTTGTTTTCTCCTGGTAATCCTGGTAATATCTTACGACATTGAAGCATTCACAGCCGGCGCTGGAAATATTGGAAGCAGAGGAATAAAAAGAGGCTTAGTAAACAAGGTAAGGTTTTATCACGGACGCAAAACTAAGAATTTTCTTAAAGCGAACCAATAACAAATTTTTGCCAGTTTTGAACTAGTTCGATGTCACAAAGAGGTCGATGGCAATTTCTCTAATATAGTGAGTCAAATCAGTTTTCAAAGATATTCCTTCGTTCTTTTTGTGCTTAATTTTATGATTCCCCACAAAACGCAAACTTTAATTTCTAGCTAATATTTTATCGTGCAGTAAAGTAAAATTGGCTATGTGAAAATATTGTTTGATAACCGTATATCAAGAATTGGCTTCAATTTTACTCGCTGTAAAAGTGAATTCGCTGCAACCGACAACAAGAATTGCCCGTGGGAAAGTGATTGAAGAAACAAGCATTAAATTAAGATGCGTGAAGTATCAGTCAATTTTCCATTTTTCTTTTTTTGCTCAAATTTCCAAGCTCTTTCTCTGTATTTTTGACGCTTTACAGCAACAGTATGTGGAAATATATTTTTGCAATTTTCTTTGTAATAAGCGTTTGCTGTCTTAAAGTCAATATATTCGTAAAATACCTATAAAAAATAAATGTTTCGTTGTTGATTGAGCCAACTCTAAATACATTGTGCGAACGTTAGCCATAAATGTAGCCTTACACTTTTACAGAAGAAGCACTGTAATTAATCTTTTATATAAAAAGTTGATAGTTTTACTAGGCTAGTGTTAGGCCTTGAAGGGAGGCAAAGGAAAAACGTTTTCTTCAAAATAGGAAAAATGCAGGCTATCGAGGCTTCTCCAAAGGCCAGAAATATATGGAAGTGAGATTGATCAGAATTTATAACTTTAACTATTCACTTTTAATATTTCACTGTAACGACTTTTAATGTTGTTCCGGCTTAGAAATTCAGATTGATTTTGTGCATATGATTTTGAAATATTTGAAAATTTATGGTCACAGGAACGCCATTTTCGGCAGGATGGGCAGTTGAGACCAATGGTTCAGGCTATTTTAATTTTTTCAGCGGCAGAATCATTGTGACTGAGGGAGGAGGGAGCACATGCATGCCCAGCTAGTTATGGTAGCTGGTTTTAAAAAAAGGAAGTTGGATGAGGTAGTTTGACTGAAATATGTAGGTTGCAAAAAATCATAATCTAACTCAATTTAAACTGGATATATTTGGATATGATAGATAGTGGGGCTGCACTTCAAATTGCATAAAACATCCGCCAAACTTTTCTAGTTTTCTTCTGGCTGAAGTCACACACCAAGGCTTCTAGCTTTTAAATCTTTTTAGAATTTGTGAGTACCGGATGGGTCATCAGGAAAAGGGGACCTAACCAAGACGTGGTGAACTGCATGCATTGTTTTATTAAGTCTCTTGAGTTTTATTTTTGGCATTATCTTTTATAGGACTTTTAGACACAACATTTTGGCATACATTTCAATCGGTAGACAAAGGTTTGGTCATGAGAATACTAAAACACCCTTTTAAGGGACCAACGGGACCCTCTCTACGGGGTGGGAGGTGGATGGGGAGAGATATACTTCACTAGAGGGGCTAACATTGGCACGGGGGGACTTGCATGCCAAAAGTGGCCATGCACTCAAATAATGGAGGGTGCCCTTTACTGGATTTCTTGAAGGAGTCTTGCAGGGAAAACTGATACAGTTTAAATGCTTATCAACATTTCGTGTCATTTTGAGTACGAATTATACATATTTAAGCACTTTAGCAGACTGGGTCTCTATATAGACGTAGCTCAATTATTAAATTTCCGGAATTGATCATAGTGCAGCTCTTCTTTTACAGCTAGTAAAACCTGTACTGGTTTGATACAAACGGAATGAGTTCTTCTTACTGGAAATTTTATATTTCTTTTTCATTTTGACCTGAAAACATATTTATTATATAAACATAAGTGTTATATAGAGTTTTTGGCCACTGAGAAAAATCGTATTTAAACACACGTAAAAAATACGATATTTTTACGTGTGAAAATATCATTTGTTGCAAAACGCATTGCCACGGACGTTTTATTGTTTTTCACTGAATTTTGAATGGGTGCTTGGAAATACCAGATTTATTTCTCGTGTTGAACATGATATCTCACTCGTTCGCTGCGCTCACTCGTGAGATATCATGTTCAACAATCGAAATAAATCTGGTATTTCCGCGCACCCATGTATTATTCTCTATATATATACGGCTATTTGAATTAAGGTTGTCTACGAACAAAGCGGAAAAGTCGAATACGAGCGCGAAAGGCTGCTGGGAATCGCTCATTAATTTGTTAGCGATTCCCAGCAGCCTTTCGCGCTCGTATTCGACTTTTCCGCTTTGCTCGTGGACAACCTTAATTTGAAATAGCTGTATACAAGTGAATTGGCCTCTTGACTTGAAAGCATATATATATACAAGTGAATTAACCTCTTCGCGACTCTCCTTAGCCCTCTTATATAGGCTTGCTTTCCCGCGCGTTTTGTTCCTTGCAAATTTGGCCTCAACTGCTCGCTGCATGAGCTTATAGCAATAATTATATAAAAAATTATCAAAATTTACATCAATATTCTCGTTTTATCGGGCTTGAAAATAAAACATACAAGATGTTCGCATGTCCGCCTCTCAACTTCAAATTATTAATTCAGCATAAATATTAAATACAGACAGATGTGCAGCTGTTCACGACTTTATAGGGGAGGAGTTTTATATACTGAGTAGCTAGTGATATATTATTTTTTGGATGGCAGATTTACATTTCTTATGTTTACAAAATGTTGGATGTTTGTTCACTGAAATGGTTTCAAACATATATCTGAATTGTTCTCAGGATTCTTCATATTCTTAAAATCATATTTCAATGAATAACGGCTGTGAGATTTATAATGAGATGCACGACACTAATATCCGTCATGTTCAGTTTTTTAGAGATATTAATATGAGCGCAAATATTATTTGAACTAGACTAATTATAAACATAAATTCCGCGCCTTTTCGAAATTGATCATTCAAGATTAAGACAACTGGAATAGTAATCTAGATTTATATGCGGTTAAAATGTTATTAATTATGGAACTGACATATAGTAAATATATATATAGTGCTGCCTTCCATGCATGCTTTATAATTGAGAAAATATCATATTTTGAAGCCAAAATCAGACCGTATCTCCACAGATTATAATTAAGCAACGGTCGAATGGCAAAAAACGGAAGAAACAAAGTGAAATGACTAAAAAGTAAAAAGAAAAGAATAGTGAAAAAGTCAGACACTGTTAAAATTCCTTCGATGTATAAGCGAGCAAACATTCACAAGTTAATTGCATGGACGTGTGACTCAGCATCATTGTGCAGAACATGAATTTTTCAAAATCTATTCCATCTACAATTATAATAAATTTACTGAAAAATTACAACATATTGCGTTAGAAACCTACTAGAAATGACACAGAGTCAGAAAGGAGATACGCGGTATTTTTAAAAAATGGCAAATGCACGTTTAAAAATCTTGATACAAAATTCGCAAGATATCGATTGAGTCACAGAATAAAAATAATATTGAAATGCCGAATTTGCTAAATACAATAGTCCTCTTGATGTTCTTAAGATTGAAAATTGATTACAACATATATTTAATAACATAGATTGAAATTTCGCAAGATATTTCGCGAGATTACGAGGAGTAATGCTACGAAAAATTTGTCGCCGCCCTTTTCAATGAGAAGTATTAAGCACAAGACTCAAGATTTCAAAATTTTCTGAGGAATCCATGGAATCGATCGAGTTTGTGGCCTGTTCCCACCACACCATTCATTATTCGGTCACCTATGCCATGGAAATTGATCTACAGGCAATTGATCTAATTTAATGTTAATTTAAATTTAATCACAAATTTGTAAAATTTCAATAAAGTTTCAATAAGTTTCAATAAAAGTTTCAATAAGGAAATCAGGGTTGCATGCCAGATTGTTGAATAAATAAGCCAAAGATTGTTATAAGCGGCCCTTTGATGTCTTTGTATCGAACAAAAAAAACAAAAGGTTATGATAATAATATTTGGCTTATTTGTTCAGCAATCTGGCAACCCTGATGGAAATTAAAGAGTTCATCATAAATTTGGCTAAAGTTTGTTAATATACAAATCAGATCCTTATATGTTTTTTTTATATTTTAGGACTTCAGAATCTTCAAAAACATTTGTACATGGGCGAGTGAATACTGTCCTTCAAACGCTGATAACTGGTATGCAACGAAAGTCGCAAAGAACGAAGAAACTCCGAATATCCTGGAAACGGAAAAAGAAATTCTGTCACAGAAATGAACCATAAATACCCATATCAACGTGTATTTTATTTAAATCATGTGATGAAATAAATTGAGAAATAAGAACGAAAGACCAAAGAATATGTTGTTATATCTATTTGATTTTATGTTGTAATAATAAAAATGCAATTCGAAGATTATTTAATATATTGCCTATAAATTATGTTACCCTTTGTTAATTTTGTATCAGGATATTTTATAGTTATACTTGTTGTATTCAGTGTATTCACGCAGTAACGAATTCGCACAGACGCATTGTTCTGTTATTAACAGAGGTTCGCGATTTCATAGGTGCGCGATTTCAAATTAAAGATGTGCTCTGTAACATGCGATATCCAAAAATATCCCTGGATAAATATTTCCACATCCATGCAGTGACGCAAAAGACGAAGAGGATATTAGAAATTATTATTTATTGCAAATAATTCATGAGTCTTGATTGGCTAAGAGCTGTCTGTGAAATCGTCATATCCACTTGGTAGCTTCCCAAATTTGGAGTTATGACATCACCATGGAATATGGAAAACAAATTTACCACGTTTGACGTAATTTCGTGTTATATTGAAAAACAATGTAACATGCTATGACGTCAAGCTTATTTATGCGGCTTATGCCAAAAGCGGGGAAGTACAAAAGGTGAGAAAAGGGAATGGAAAATACAACAAAAGATTCATATTTTGGGGAAAATAAAAAGGAAAGGTTCCCCAACCTTGGGGAAGATGAAATTAAAAATAAATAAATAATAATAATAAATAAATAATGGAACAGTTATTGAATTCGGTTCTCGCAGGATATGAGGAATTATTAAGGCCTTGGTTTGTGTTATCTGTCTCATGCAATATTCGGCTTATTAAGGCGAGCGTTCAAAGCAGTGACTGGAGAGATGTGCAGGTTTGAATTACTTTTGTAGATGCATGGAAATTTGGAAACAAAAGTATATCATACATAATCAGAATAAAAGGAAGTAGTTTCTGAAACGTCATATACAAACGTCAGTCGAGATTTGTAGTGCTATCAAGCTTTACACAAAATATATCGCAGAAAGTAATAGTAACAATATTGATGGGTTTTCTAGATAAAAATTATCGAGTGTAAATTTATATACATTTATTAGACCTAACCATGCAGGAACAGCTGCGAAAAATGCAACTATACGTACTCTGCCAGGAATCGAACCTGCAGCCCTGTGATTTCGATGCGGCGCTCTAACCAACTCAATATACATAGCACAGTTGTTGAGCTCTAACCACAAGTTCATGAATACAAGATTGTGTTGGCATCTCACTCGATTGAATTATGGTTGGTGGGTTATGTAAATGACAATTATCGAGTGCAACGGAATCGCAGGGCCGCAGGTTCAATTCCTTCGCAGCTGTTCCTGGTTAGGTCTAATAAATGTATGTAAAATTACCTGGTCAGTGTCAGCATTGTCTGTATTTCGGTGTTGACTCACTGAGTTCGTTAAGATTGACGAGGTTGGGACTGCACACAAATGACGTCATTTCAGAAGAGCGGGGGCGAGCCCGTGAGCTAACGTGTAAACCAATTAGTGACGCTAACAGTGTTGATTATCGAATTGGCATAAAGTTGTTTTACGATGTGAAAATGAGCAAAATGCATCCTAGTCCCAGTCGTTCTGAAGCAAGTGCGAGAAAAAACGTGGATGTAGTACGAGACTGGGACCTAGGTGTGACGTCAATAATAATATTTAATTTGCCAAGAAAACGAGCTTGAAGAGAATATGGATCAAGGATTCAAGGTTATCAATCAAGCATTTCTTTATCTTTATATAAATAAAATTAGCAACATGGTCTATATTTAGTTTATTGTACGATCATCCAGATTAATTTTTTTTTTTTTTTAATTATTTTTGACGTTTCGGCTACCTACACGGCAGCCATTATCAAAGACGTATTACAGTTACAAAAAAATTTACAGTTATAATAATTTTATCTTGCGTCAAAAATGACGTGCGCGTGTTCGTGATGTTGTTTGCTCGCGCCTGCGTTCAATGCATGAGAGCCTGCGTTCCTGCGTGATTAGTCCAGCGTATGCTCCTGGCATATCGCGGCAAATGTTAATGCTGTTTTCATCGCATTTTGTAAACCAACTTTCTAAGAACATTCTCTCATCCGCAAAACCATTAAACTCCATACAAGTGGCTCCCTCCCAATCAATTCTATGATTTGTTTCCATATGATGAACCGCAATTCTATTCGCCACGTCTTGTTTCTCTGTTGATCGCTTATGTTCTTTAATTCGACAATCTAGAGTACGTCCAGTTTCACCGAAATAAGTTGCGGGGCATTCAGCGCAGGTCACTTTATAAACTGTTCCTATCCGGGTCTTTGTATTGGTTGGATCTTTCACTTTCGTTAAGGTATTTCTTAGCGTTACCGTTGGTTTGTGAGCCACACTGATGTTGAAAGGTCGTAGGATTCTTGCAATTCTTTCGGATGTACCTTTGATGTGAGGGATGGTGGCAATGGTCTTCTTCCGTTCAGTTTCGTCGGTAGTTGGTGTTGTTTTCCGGGAATGTTCAATTACGTTGTTCACAAAAGGTTTAGAATATTTGTTGATGGTAAAAACTTTATCAAGGTGCTGCAACTCATCTTCGAGGGTTTCACTAGAACTGCAAACTGCATGCGCTCTCTTCACTAAGGTTGCTATTGTAGCTGACTTGTGCGAGGTTGGGTGGTAGAATGAATTATCTAATAAACGGCTGGTGCTGGTGGGTTTTCGATAGACACTCGTTTGAAGGGAATTGCCGTCTCTGGTTATCATGCAGTCTAGGAAAGCTATCTTACCATCTTTCTCAGGTTCCATGGTGAACTGTAGACTGGGGTTTTGCTTGTTGAGGTGGTCAAGAAAGTCGTTTTTCTGATGTTTATCGACACTCGTCAAGGTATCGTCGACGTAGCGAAACCAAAAAGGTGGTGGGTTTGGTTATGAGGACAATGCTCGTTCTTCTAACCGTTGCATAACAATCTCTGCTACAACTACGGAAACTGGAGATCCCATTGCTGTGCCATGGTTTGATAATGGCTGCCGTGTAGGTAGCCGAAACGTCAGAAATAATTAAAAAAAAATTTAATCTGGATGATCGTACCATAAACTAAATTAATGGAAAAACCCGGATTCAAGCCCTTCAGTGAATGGTCTATATTGCCAGAAATTTCCACAAATTATGCATTTCCTATAGAGGAAGTTGCTTGAAGTTCGGCTGAGATTTGGAGCAACAGCGTGCGAGTTGACATGTTTATTTAACTGTAAAACAAGTTGTAAAGTTAGGCAAGGCAAAGTTACCATTTTGTGAAATATTTGAAGCAAATTGTGATACAATTTACGCAATTGCTCTTGTGATAATTGAAACGTAGAATTCGGCGTTCTACAGTCTTTGACTCGATATGTCAGCGAACTTAAGACTATCCTGGGCTGGCGACTTTGATCGTTTGAACGAGTTTGTAAAGAGTGACCTGGAGTTGCAAGGATGCTGGTCATCCCCGGCGAACGAGAAGAAACTTTTCGTGGCAAACAACGTCGAGCTGCTCTGGTGGAAAAACAAAAAGTTCCTAAAGATCAATGGAGAGGATGCAAATCGAATTAAATGTTGTATGATCAACGCTATGTTTACGAGTTTAAACCTCGATAGTGTCAAGTCTAGCGTGGACATGGCTACTAACACCGAGAACTCCTTCAACGAAAACCAACCAACACAACATCAGTGTACGGGTTGTGTATGTTCGAAGTTATCACCAGACTTGGAGGGTTTGAAATTAAACTTGGTCGTTTTGGAATCGAAACTCAGCCATAAAATCCAAGCCATGGAAAACCAAATACTACGCATGAACGATTGCCGACCAAAAGAGCCGAAAAATCATGCAAATCTCGAAAATATGTTGACAACCTCTACATCCACTAGCAGCGGCGGCACGAACAAAACAAAAGAGGTTAGTAAGTCAAATCCTCACAATAATCCCGTTGTTGTTCGGACCGCTAACGATGCATGCTTCACACCAATAAAAGTACCGGACAACACAGAAACTTTTACGGCTATAGATCAGTCATGCGAGAAAACTTCACACCACGATTTAGTACCATTGCCAAAATCCATCAATCACTCACAAGAGGAATTAACCCTGACAAAGGTGGTTTTCCATGTTAGGAACAATAGTGAACAGTGGAAAGTAGGTGAGCTTTCCCATGAGGTCAGAAATCTAAACATACTTTCTGCCACCAGTAATACCAAACAATCGCATAAAAGTGCTTCTACAAATATAAATAAAAAACCCCAGTGGAAACAAAGCCGAAGGCACTTTAAATGCTACGCCAAACGTGTTGAATTCAAAAGAAACATTTCAGATCCCTGTCCGAATTAGCCATCGTCCAGCTAAAAAGCAAGCATCGCGTAGAACTGCAGAGGAGAATATGAAACAGAAAGGAGAATAAGAAACAGAAATAATGCATGGGCAATCGAACAGTCTTTTTTTCCACAGCGTGGGAAATATCGCCGCCCCTCATTATGGCAAGAACGCCTAGACCCCGCAACACAACTAACAACATTAGTATAACATTAGAACAAACGGGACCTCCAATTCCTAAAGTTATACCCAAATGCATGGTTATTAACGCTCGTTCTGAAGCAAAACCTGATGTTGCTGTCTCCCTAAACGTTGAGTTGTGCACTAATAACATTGATATTTGTTTCGTTACTGAGACATGGTTAAATGACAAAATTCCGTCAAGCCTGGTGTGTCTCGGCAATTACGTTTTTGTCAGAAAAGACCGGTGTGACTCGCGGTCGGGGGGTGGAGTGGCTATTCTGTGTAGAGACGACTGGAAAGTTAAAAATCTTGATTTTGACAACAACCTTGAGTGTGTTTGGTGTGAAATTGTGACACTTAATACTAAATACTACGTAGCTTCAGTATATCACCCACCTGACTCCATTTATCCTGAGTTACTAAATCATTTGTCTGAAACTATAGAACAGATTCTTTATCCTGAGCCCAATGCAAGAATAATTATACCATCAGTCAGCACAACTTGGAACAATTAGTCAAGAAGCCTACCCGAAATCATAAAATTTTGGATGTATTTTTAACCAACTGTCCACATCTATGGGGAAAAATCAAAGGTTTTTAAAGGTCTAGTAAGATCTGACCATTTGGTTGTCATGGTTTCTCCGCGACATGCTATAAAACCCGAAAGAAAGGATGTCTACTTTAGAGACGTAAGAGCTCATCGGACGTTCAGTATGATGAGGAAATTGGAGACATGTGATTGGAGTCACATTCATAATTGCAATAATGTCAATGATACAGTTACTCTATTAAATGACACTATCACTAACATGTTTAATGACTGTTTCCTGTTAATTAAAGTAAAAATGTCAACACGTGACCCACCATATATGTCTCCTTTGGTCAAACACTTATGTAAGATTAGGAATAAGAATATAGCGAAGGGAGTCAACAATGACCTTCAAAAACGTATTGATGAGCTAATTCGTGAAAATCTTGTTCGTTCTGTTGATGATGAGAATAGAAAAAATAGTTTTGGATCCAAAAAGTGGTGGGATACTGTGAATAGAATTACTGGCAGAAAAAGCAAGAACAGCAATATTAGCTCAGTCATCGATCCACAACATATTAACTCGTACTTTCAAAATGTAAACACGGATGCGAATTATATATCCCCCCAACTCATACCAATTCCTGTAGGCACTCGAGTTCCTACCATTGATGAGCCTACTGTTATAAGTTTTTTTGCGAAACTAAAACGAACAGCGCCAGGTCTTGATGGGCTTCAATATTGGTTATAGAAAGACTTTGCACAACTTTTAGCGCCCATAATTACCAAAGTGTTCAATCTATCAATCGAACAACAATGTGTCCCTCTGATGTGGAAGCTCGCCAATGTGAACCCTTTACCCAAAGAATCTCCTTTAACAGAGTGTAATCAGTTGAGGCCTATATCGCTCACAAACATCATTATGAAATTATTTGAAAGGGTAGTTTATAAACTAGAGATTGCGCCTGCATTCAAATCCGTGATCGGACGAGATCAATTTGCTAATAAAGAGGGAACATATAGTGTTTATAAAATGATAATAATTCTTACCTTTAAGACCGTTTAATTAAAACAGCAATTTGCGCCGTAGTAATTGCGCTTGCAAACTCATGTATCTTACCGTCTATTTCAGGGGAAGAAACAGGAACTGCCCGCGGGGTAGGCATGAGTTAGCTGCAACACAGCCGAGCACAAATTAATCGTTTACAAATAGAACGCTGGGGGCGAAAACGCACAAACTATAAACAAGATGCATTTTGCTCGTTTTCACATCGTAAAACAACTTTATGCCAATTAGATAATCAACACTGTTAGCGTCACTAATTGGTTTACACGTTAGCTCTCGGGCTCGCCCCCGCTCTTCTGAAATGACGTCATTTGTATCCAGTCCCAACCTCGTCATTCTTAACGAACTCACTGAGTCAACACCGAAATACAGACAATGAACAGGTAGGCAATTTGTCGACGCTGACCAAAAATAGCGGCTCATTTCTTCTTTGAGTTTCCATTTTCGCGTCGAAGAGCAAAAATATAGACTTTCGGAGAATATTTTAGCTGTTTACTATCAAATATGTTTGTGAAACAGTTAATAATCTCACTGAGTAAGGCCAACGGTTTCTGAAAAGCTAAAGTACGTCGAAATCAGCTTTGGAATAGACTATATTTTCACCTGGGAAACATGAACAAAATGGATATTTACATCAACACTAAATTTTGCTGGTGCCTACAGAGCTAGTTGGATTAAAACAGATGTTAAGAAGTAAGTGAAAATGTGAACTTTGTGAATTATACTTTCATTAAAATGTTTCAGAAGGTTTGCTAATGTCAAACTACACGTGTGACAGAGCTGCCATGCAGTATACCCATATTTCAATGTTTATGTTGAAATGACCTATCTTCTTTGAGGTATAGCTTAAAATTTAGGGTATGCTCATCACTTGAAACTAGCTTTAAATCAAAGTTTTATCTATAGTCTTTTTATTAGAATTAAAGTCATTCATGAGAAAAATGTGCCAAAGGGTTGAAATTGCCCTTGTAAATGTGCACTATTTTTGACATGTTTGGGTTAGTATTTTCAAAAGGTGTTCTGGAAGGAAAATATGTCTTGAACAATACTGGTTGCCCCTTAAATTATAACTAGTGTCGTGTAAATCACAGAAAATTGAAAAAAATCTGGTCCATACACAATAGTTTGGATTCTATGAGGTCCCAAATGGGGCTTATTTCAATGTTGAACCTGTTTACCTGGAAAAACTTGGAAAATTGAATAAGTCAAGAATTTGACTATGCTCATCACCCAAAACCAGGTTTTTCTAATTGCTTTTTCACCTGGGTTTGTGGCAATGCCAGTTATGCGACCACGAAAAATGCGCGCGGCACTTTTTTTGGACACTGAAGATGGTAACATTTGATGTTGTCATATATTGCCATCCTCTTATCGTAGCATAACTTAACTTATTTTAGTGAATTTGTTAAAGAGTTGTGTTGACTATATGCTTGTAGTATCTATAAGATTTTTCATAGCATTATATGATAAATTTAAGTTCTGTTTCTTTTATTTTTAGGTGATAGTATCTGTTCATTCCAGTGTTGGTATCAAATTTTGGACAAGTTTCGATTATTATTTCACATTCCTTTATTCAAATATCCAAATAAATGGAATATGACATCAAGCTGGAGGACTAGATCCTGTTTTTAAACTTGTTTTTTGTAAAAATAGAAAATAACAACTTATTCTGTGTTGTTCTAATAAAAACCATTGTTTTTGATATGCATATATTTTAATTTTATTCTTTGTTAAAATGTGTACCTCGAATACTGAAATCTTTCAGATCAGCTAACAATACCTTTATGACTTATATAGCCAAGTGGTCTATCTATTTTTGTTCAGATTAAACAAATAATGAGTAAAATATTAGATAAAATTTTTTCAAAAAATATGAGCTTGCCTGTTTTCAAAGCATAAAAAGCAATAAAATAAAGCAAAAGTACTTATTTTTTATTTAAAACCTTTGGAATGCACAGCTTAATGTTTTCCACGAAATATTACAAAGTTTTCGTTCATTAAAATGTTGTTTTATCAGCTTTGAAACCAGATAAATCCTCGAAACACTCCTGATATATGTCGCCATATTGATTTTCTGCGCGCATGCTCAGACAAATTGCCTACCTGTTCAGACAATGCTGACACTGACCAGGTAATTTTACGTACATTTATTAGACCTAACCAGTAACAGCTGCGAAGGAATTGAACCTGCGGCCCTGCGATTCCGTTGCACTCGATAATTGCCATTTACATAACCCACCAACCATAATTCAATCGAGTGAGATGCCAACACAATCTTGTATTCATGAACTTGTGGTTAGAGCTCAACAACTGTGCTATGTATATTGAGTTGGTTAGAGCGCCGCATCGAAATCACAGTGCAGCAGGTTCGATTCCTGGCAGAGTACGTATAGTTGCATTTTTCGCAGCTGTTCCTGCATGGTTAGGTCTAATAAATGTATATAAATTTACACTCGATAACTTTTATCTAGAAAACCTATCAATATTGTGACTATTACTTTTTGCGATATATTTTGTGTAAAGCTTGATAGCACTACAAATCTCGACTGACGTTTGTATATGACGTTTCAGAAACTACTTCCTTTTATTCTGAATATGTATGATATACTCTTGTCTCCAAATTTCCATGTATCTACAAAAGTAATTCAAACCTGCATATCTCTCCAGTCACTACTTGGAACGCTCGCCTTAATAAGTCGAAGGCTGCATGAGACAAATAACACAAACCAAGGCCTTAATAATTCCTCATATCCTGCGAGAACCGAATTCAATAACTGTTCTATTATTTATTTATTTATTATTATATTTATTTTTAATTCCTTCTTCATCAAGGTTGGCGAACCTTTCCTTTTTATTTTTCCCAAAATATGAACCTTTCGTTGTATTTTCCATTCCCTTTTCTCACCTTTTGTACTTTCCCGCTTTTGGCATAGCCGCATAAATTAGCTTGACGTCATAACATGTTACATTGTTTTTCAATATAACACGAAATTACGTCAAACGTGGTAAATTTGTTTTCCATATTCCACAGTGATGTCATAACTCCAAATTTGGGAAGCTACCAAGTGGATATGACGATTTCACAGACAGCTCTTAGCCAATCAACACTCTTGAATTATTTGCAATAAATAATAATTTCTAATGTGCTCTTCGTCTTTTGCGTCACTGCATGGATGTGGAAATATTTATCCAGGGATATTTTTGTATATCGCATGTTACAGAGCACATCTTTAATTTGAAATCTCGCACCTATATGAAATCGCGAACCTCTGTTAATAACAGAACAATGCGTCTGTGCGAATTCATTACTGCGTGAATACACTGAATACAACAAGTATAACTATAAAATATCCTGATACAAGATTAACAAAGGGTAACGTAATTTGTAGGCAATATATTAAATAATCTTCGAATTGCATTTTTATTATTACAACATAAAATCAAATAGATATAACAACATATTCTTTCGTCTTTCGTTCTTATTTCTCAATTTATTTCATCAAATGATTTAAATAAAATACATGTTGTATGGATATTTATGGTGCATTTCTGTCATAGAATTTCTTCTCCCGTTTCCAGGATATTCGGAGTTCCTTCGTTCTTTGCAACTCTCGTTGCATACCGGTTATCAGAGTTTGAAGGACAGTATTCACTCGCCCATGTACAAATATTTTTGAAGATTCTGAAGTCCTAAAATATAAAAAACATATAAGGGTCATGATTTGTATATTAAACAAACATTAGCCAAATTTATGATGAACTCTTTAAAAATTTCTATCAGGGTTGCCAGATTGCTGAATAAATAAGCCAAATATTATTGTCATAACCTTTTGTTTTCTTTGTTCGAAACAAAGGGCCGTTTATAACAATGTTTGGCTTATTCATTCCGCAATCTGTGACCGAATAAGCAGGATATGGTGGGAGCAGGCCACAAAATCGATTGATTCCGTGGATCTCGTAATCTCGCGAAATATCTTGCGAAATTTCAATCTATGTTATTAAATATATGATGTAATCAATTTTCAATCTTAAGAACATCAAGAGAACTATTGTATTTAGCAAATTCGGCATTTCAATATCATTTTTATTCTGAGACTCAATCGATATCTCGCGAATTTTGTATTGAGATTTTTAAACGTGCATTTGCCATTGTTTTAAAAATACCGCGTATCTCCTTTCTAACTCTGTGTCATTTCTAGTAGGTTTCCAGCCCAATATGTTGTAATTTTTCAGTAAATTTATTATAATTGTAGATGGAATAGATTTTGAAAAATTCATGTTGTGCACAATGATGCTGAAGTCACACGTTCATGGGAAAAATCAATGCGGCTTGACGGCACGTCCTATAGGCTATAAGCTATATTATTGTCTTTTAATTGTAGCGCTGGGAAATGAGCGCATGTAATAAGCAACGGTAATTTCGTGGCTTATCGAATATGGCTGAATAATATACATAATTTCTAGATCCATATCACGTACCGGACAATATCTTAAAATGCTAATGAATGTCAAACAATTGCAGCTTAATTAAAATATGTCATTATAGTGTCATTTGTCAAATGTGTTTCCCCAGACAATTAAATTTTGCTCAATCTAAACGATATGAAAATTTCAGTTTGGAAGTACTTTGTGAATATATTAACAAGGATGTCAAAGTCCATGCAATTAACTTGTGAATGTTTGCTCGCTTATACATCGAAGGAATTTTAACAGTGTCTGATTTTTTCACTATTCTTTTCTTTTTACTTTTTAGTCATTTCACTTTGTTTATTCCTTTTGTTGCCATTCGACAGTTGCTTAATTATAATCTATGGATATACGGTCTGATTTTGGCTTCAAAATATGATATTTTCTCAATTATAAGGCATGCATGCAAGGCAGCACTATATATCTATTTACTATGTCAGTTCCATAATTAATAACATTTTAACCGCATATAAATCTAGATTAATATTCCAGTTGTCTTAATCTTGAATGATAAATTTCGAAAAGGCGCGGAATTTATGTTTATAATTAGTCTAGTTCAAATAATATTTGCGCTCATATTAATATCTCTAAAAAACTGAACATGACGGATATACTAGTGTCATGCATCTCATTATAATTCTCACAGCCGTTATTCATTGAAATATGATTTTAAGAATATGAAGAATCCTGAGAACCCTTCAGATATATGTTTGAAACCATTTCAGTGAACAAACATCCAACATTTTGTAAACATATGAAATTTAAATCTGCCATCCAAAAGCAAAATATCACTAGCTACTCAGTGTATAAAGCCCCCCCTTATAAAGTCGTGAACAACTGCACATTTGTCTGTATTTAATATTTATGCTGAATTAATAATTTGAAGTTGAGAGGCGGGCATGCGAACATCTTGTATATTTTATTTTCAAGCCCGATAAAACGAGAATGTCGATGTAAACTTTGATAATTTTTTATATAATTATTGCTATAAGCTCAGCGAGCAGTTGAGGCCAAATTTGCAAGGAACAAAACGCGCGGGAAAGCATGCCTATATAAGAGGGCTAAGGAGAGTCGCAAAGAGGTTAATTCACTTGTATATATATGCTTTCAAGTCAAGAGGCCAATTCACTTGTATACAGCTATTTCGATTAAGGTTGCATGTCCACGAGCAAAGCGGAAAAGTCGAATACGAGCGCGAAAGGCTGCTGGGAATCGCTAACAAATTAATGAGCGATTCCCAGCAGCTTTCGCGCTCGTATTCGACTTTTCCGCTTTGTTCGTAGACAACCTTAATTGAAATAGCAGTATATATATGTTTTCAGGTCAAAATGAAAAAGAAATATAAAATTTCCAGTAAGAAGAACTCATTCGACCCGTTTGTATCACACCAGTACAGGTTTTACTAGCTGTAAAAGAAGAGCTGCAGTATGATCAATTCTGGAAATTTAATAATTGAGCTGCGTCTATATAGAGACCCAGTATGTTGATAAACATTTATACTGTATCAGTTTTCCCTGCAAGACTCCCTCAAGAAATCCAGTAAAGGGCACCCTCCATTATTTGAGTGCAGGGCCACTTTTGGCATGCAAGTCCCCCCGTGCCAATGTTAGCCCCTCTAGTGAAGTATATCTCTCCCCATCCACCCCCCACCCCGTAGAGAGGGTCCCGTTGGTCCCTTAAAAGGGTGTTTTAGTATTCTCATGACCAAACCTTTGTCTAGCTATTAAAATGTAGCCTGAAAATGCTGTGTATAAAAGTCCTAAAAGATAATGCCAAAAATAAAACTCAAGAGACTTAATAAAACAATGCATGCAGTTCACCACGTCTTGGTTCGGTCCCCTTTTTCTGATGGCCCATCTGGTACTCACAAATTCTAAAAAGATTTAAAAGCTAGAAGCCTTGGTGAGTGACTTCAGCCGGAAGAAAACTAGAAAAATTTGGAGGATGTTGTGCAGCCCCACTATCTATCATATCCAAATATATCCAGTTTAAATTGAGTTAGATTATGATTTTTTGCAACCTGCATATTTCAGTCAAACTACCGCATCCAACTTCCTTTTTTTTAAACTAGCTACCATAACTAGGTGGGCATGCAAGTGCTCCCTCCACCCTCAGTCACAATGATTCTGCCGCGGAAAAAATTAAAATAGCCTCAATCATTGGTTTCAACGGCCCATCGTGCCGAAAATGGCGTTCCTGTTACCATAAATTTTCAAATATTTCAAAATTATATGCACAAAATCAATCTGAATTTCTGAGCCGGAACTGCTTCGTACCCAGGCGCTTACATGAAGTATTCAGGTAGGCAGCCGACGCGCGAAGGGGCTGTTGGGAAGGGTTGTGCACTCTTCCCATCAGCCCCTTCGCCATCTCTCCCCACTACAATACTTCATGTAAACTCGTCATATGCGCATCACTGTTTTTTTTTACAAAGAGACGCCTGGGTACGAGACAGCACGTTCATGGGAAAAATCAATGCTTGACGGCACGTCCTATAGGCTATAAGCTATATTATTGTCTTTTAATTGTAGCGCTGGGAAATGAACGCATGTAATAAGCAACGGTAATTTCGTGGCTTATCGAATATGACTGAATAATATACATAATTTCTAGATCCATATCATGTACCCGACAATATCATTAAATGCTAATGATGTCAAACAATTGCGGCTTAATTAAAATATGTCATTATAGTGTCTTTTGTCAAATGTGTTTCCCAAGACAATTAAATTTTGCTCAATCTAAACGATATGAAAATTTCAGTTGGGAAGTACTTTGTGAATATATTAACAAGGATGTCAAAGTCCATGCAATTAACTTGTGAATGTTTGCTCGCTTATCAGTACATCGAAAGAATTTTAACAGTGTCTGATTTTTTCACTATTCTTTTCTTTTTACTTTTTAGTCATTTCACTTTGTTTATTCCGTTTGTTGCCATTCGACCGTTGCTTAATTATAATCTATGGATATACGGTCTGATTTTGGCTTCAAAATATGATATTTTCTCAATTATAAGGCATGCATGCAAGGCGGCACTATATATATCTATTTACTATGCCAATTAATAACATTTTAACCGCATATAAATCTAGATTAATATTCCAGTTGTCTTAATCTTGAACGATCAATTTCGAAAAGGCGCGGAATTTGTTTATATGTTTATAATTAGTCTAGTTCAAATAATATTGGCGCTCATATTAATATCTATAAAAAACTGAACATGACGGATATACTAGAGTCGTGCATCTCATTATAATTCTCACAGCCGTTATTCATTGAAATATGATTTTAAGAATATGAAGAATCCTGAGAACCCTTCAGATATATGTTTGAAACCATTTCAGTGAACAAACATCCAACATTTTGTAAACATATGAAATTTAAATCTTCCATCCAAAAGCAAAATATCACTAGCTACTCAGTGTATAAAGCCCCCCCTTATAAAGTCGTGAACAACTGCACATTTGTCTGTATTTAATATTTATGCTGAATTAATAATTTGAAGTTGAGAGGCGGGCATGCGAACATCTTGTATGTTTTATTTTCAAGCGCGATAAAACGAGAATATTGATGTAAACTTTGATAATTTTTTATATAATTATTGCTATAAGCTCAGCGAGCAGTTGAGGCCAAATTTGCAAGGAACAAAACGCGCGGGAAAGCATGCCTATATAAGAGGGCTAAGGAGAGTCGCGAAGAGGTTAATTCACTTGTATATATATGCTTTCAAGTCAAGAGGCCAATTCACTTGTATACAGCTATTTCAATTGAGGTTGTCCACGAGCAAAGCGGAAAAGTCGAATACGAGCGCGAAAGGCTGCTGGGAATCGCTAACAAATTAATGAGCGATTCCCAGCAGCCTTTCGCGCTCGTATTCGACTTTTCCGCTTTGTTCGTATACAACCTTAATTGAAATAGCTGTATATATATGTTTTCAGGTCAAAATGAAAAAGAAATATAAAATTTCCAGTAAGAAGAACTCATTCCGTTTGTATCAAAGCAGTACAGGTTTTACTAGCTGTAAACGGAAGAGCTGCAGTATGATCAATTCTGGAAATTTAATAATTGAGCTACGTCTATATAGAGACCCAGTCTGCGAAAGTGCTTAAACATGTATAATTCATACTCGAAATAATACGAAATGTCAATAAACATTTATACTGTATCAGTTTTCCCTAGAAGACTCCCTCAAGAAATCCGGTAAAGGGCACCCTCCATTATTTGAGTGCAGGGCCACTTTTGGCAGCAAGTCCCCCCGTGCCAATGTTAGCCCCTCTAGTAAAGTATAACTCTCCCCATCCACCTCCCACCCCGTAGAGAGGGTCCCGTTGGTCCCTTAAGGTTGGTGTTTTAGTATTCTCATGACCAAACCTTTGTCTACCGATTGAAATGCATGCCAAAACGTTGTGTCTAAAAGTCCTAAAAGATAATGCCAAAAATGAAACTCAAGAGACTTAATAAAACAATGCATGCAGTTCACCACGTCTCGGTTAGGTCCCCTTTTCCTGATGGCCCATCCGGTACTCACAAATTCTAAAAAGACTTAAAAGCTAGAAGCCTTGGTGAGTGACTTCAGCCAGAAGAAAACTAAAAAAATTTGGCGGATATTTTATGCAATTTGGAGTGCAGCCCCACTATCTATCATATCCAAATATATCCAGTTTAAATTGAGTTAGATTATGATTTTTTGCAACCTACATATTTCAGTCAAACTACCGTATCCAACTTCCTTTTTTTAAACTAGATACCATAACTAGTTGGGCTTGCAATTGCTCCACCCACCCTCAGTCAATGATTCTGCCGCTGAAAAAATGAAAATAGCCTCAACCATTGGTCTCATGCAACTGCCCATCCTGCCGAAAATGGCGTTGCTGTGACCATAAATTTTCAAATATTCCAAAATCATGTGCACAAAATCAATCTGAATTTCTGAGCCGGAACGAGATTAAAAGTCATAGTTAAAGTGAAATATTAAAAGTGAATTAGTTAAAGTTATAAATTCAATCTCACTTCCATATATTTCTGGCCTTTGGAGAAGCCTCGATAGCCCGCATTTTTCCTATTTGGAAGAAAATTGTTTCCTTTGCCTCCCTTCAAGGCCTAACGCTAGCCTAGTAAAACTATCAACTTTTTTATATAAAAGATTAATTACATGCAGTGCTTCTTCTGTAAAAGTGTAAGGCTGCATTCATGGGTGACTTTCGCACAATGTATTTAGAGTTGACTCAATCAACAACGAAACATTTATTTTTTATAGGTAATTTACGAATATATTGACCTTAAGACAGCAAACGCTTATTACAAAGAAAATTGCAAAAATATATTTCCACATACTGTTGCTGTAAAATGTCAAAAAGACAGAGAAAAAGCTTGGAAATTTGAGCAAAAAAAGAAAAATGGAAAATTGACTGATGCTTCACGCATCTTAATTTAATGCTTGTTTCTTCAATCGCTTTCCCACGGGTAACTCTTGTTGTCGGTTCCAGCGAATTCACTTTTACAGCGAGTAAAATTGAAACCAATTCTTGATATACGGTTTTCAAACAATATTTTCACATAGCCAATTTTACTTTACTGCACGATAAAATATTAGCTAGAAATTAAAGTTTGCGTTTTGTGGGGAAGTAGCCTTTGTGTAATGAATCATAAAATTAAGCACAAAAAGAACGAAGGAATATCTTTGAAAACTGACTTGACTCACTATATTAGAGAAATCGCAATGACCTCTTTGTGACATCGAACTAGTTCAAAACTGGCAAAAATTTGTTATTGGTTTGCTTAAAGAAAATTCTTAGTTTTGCGTCCGTGATAACACCTTACCTTGGTTACTAAGCCTCTTTTTCTTCCCGTGATTCCAATATTTCCAGCGCCGGCTGCGAATGCTTCAATGTCGTAAGATATCACCAGGATTACCAGGAGAAAACAAAGTGTTTTTGCAGACATTTTGTAATATGATATTTTCGACTCGTGTTCTTCGTAATGGAGGTTCTCACTCAGCTGTTTCACCGTTTCGTTTGATTCGTATGACAGAAGGATTAGCCATTTATAAATCGCGAAGTGAGTATGATTAATGTTAATTTGAGTAATAATCAAACAAAACGTGGGTTTTTTTCCGGTTCAAAATCTCATTCATCATGCCGCATGCCTTTGTTCTTTTAAATATACCTGATATAGTGTGACGTCTAATGTTAAATGAAGTATACGTATATATTATACAGCAAGGCTTGGAAACAGAGCCGATTAATAAGTGTTTACTATACAATGTACTCTTTTCTTCGCCTATTCAAAATATTTACAGAGTCTTTTAAATATACCTGATATAGTGTGACGTCTAATGTTAAATGAAGTATATACGTATATATTATACAGCAAGGCTTGGAAACAGAGCCGATTAATAAGTGTTTTCTATACAATGTACTCTTTTCTTTGCCTATTCAAAATATTTACAGAGTTCAAAACTCTGACTATCTAAATTTGACTGACATTTCATTTTTTCCTTGAAAATTGCAGGGAAGCTTTTTAAAGAATAATACTGCATTAATTACCCATCGATCAAATTTCAATATTCACTCGCTTGTAAACTAGCTTCACGCTTGTATTAAGAAGTAATTATGACAAAATTGAGCAGCTTTAATTGCGAGTATAGCAAAGTGCGAAATGCTTTCTGACGTTTGTTGTCTAATTTGGCTGATATTTGAAGCAAATTGGGGGAAGCTGATCCAGCTGAATCTGTACGAGATATTTAAAACGCACACTGCGGGGAGTAAGTCCATGTCAAGACTGCATGACATGAAAAATAAAACTACAGTTGGGTATATGAATTTATTAACATTTTCTTAATAAATAGATATCAGATTATTGCAACTACTTTTATGCTAGGGCAGAACTGGGAGGGGAAAAAATAAAAGCAGATGTTCTTTTACTGCCGATGCGCGGGAGAATTTTTTTTAAGCGTTTACAGTCGTCAATCAGTTTCCCATTTTCAATACTATGCTCTTCTATTTTTTATAAGCAAGGGTCAAAACCTGATCAAAATTTGTATAAATTTCACTAAAGATTCACTCACAATCATCATGGACCTAAATTTACGCTATATTCCGTTATTCCGTAATATAGTAGTACATGGCAGGAACAGTAAACTTCATGCATGTATAGGATTCAGTTCGTATAATTATAAAAAATATGTCGAGTTGGTTTCAATTTATGGTATCAATAGGTAATTATTGAAGTCTGTAATTTTATCATTCAGTTTGTAGTTGAAATTCTGTCCGCTTATACTGCAGTAATAACTTTGCCACAGATAGATTGCGTCATCTGGTCAGCTTGTGTCGGTTCCACTTCGACCGTATCGTAATGTACTGTAGCATTTTCTTTCGTGTCAAAGTCATCAGTTTCACTCTAGTGCTCAGGAAACGGCAAAGAAATATGCAACGTTACGGTACGATATGCAGTTGAAGTGAAAAACGGTCTTTATAGTTACAGTAATAAAGCAATTTTCTGCATAACAGAGCAATGCATTTCGGGGTTCGCTGGCGCAGTCGTTATGCAGAGCATGCAAGCGCCTTTCACCTACGAGATCGTGGGTTTGATTCTGTCTCGTTGTCCACGCAAGACATGCGAAAAGAGTCAGTCGACGCTCTGCCGAAAGTCATGGGTTTTCTCCCGCGGTGCTTCGTTTCCTCTGACGCTGACAGGGTGGGTAACGATAAACGAGATATACTATATACCGAGCCAAGGATTCGAGCTCAGATTCGAGCTCGGAATCGAGATCGGAATCGAGCTTGGAATTCGAGCTCGGAATTGGACCTTAAGTTTTATTATAGTCTAGGACCTGTATATGAGTTTGTATGCGTTTCATTTAGCACAGGTAATCTCAAATGTTTTAGGGTAAAATGACCATGGCGGTCAACATGCATGCATATGTGCCAAAACCTGAATCCGGGACAAAAGTCCTGAAAATGATCCCGCCCTAAAAGGGTAGTGTCGACATAGCTGTAACTTCAGAAAAGAGATAGCCTGCTTATAGTGTTCAGAAGGGTTGCTTTTAGGGGTGGTCAGTAGCCTGAAATGCCTGGCGTTCTCCCCGCTTGAACCAGCTGGCATTTCAGGCTAGGGTGGTCAGTGGAAGAAAAAATTTGTCTAAGTATAATATTTACAAGAAAATTACCATGCACCACCCCAGGTAAATTGCTAATTATGCATAAATAACTAATATGCCTGACAGAAGTGAAATATCCCTATTTCCTAAAAACAAATATCATGAAGATTGTCATATAAAGGATTGTCATTGTTTTCTTTAAATATAATACCATATTTTGCCGTCTTGTTTGCTTTTTATCGCCAACTGAAATCTGGCAAATATCATCCAGTTGTTGCACTTTTACATAATCATAAATGGCTGAAGAAGATCTCAAAGTAGGTTTCATCTGCCCGATAAATGCCACTTATTCGTCTTGCTGTGTATTTAGACATAATAGTACTTCATTGTAGAATAGTCCCAATCGAATCCCATAAAACTTGTTGAATATAACAATCCAAATTCGAAAAGAAGTATTAATTTAATAGTCACGCGCAAGTAGAATTTAAAAGTCACGCGCACAGGGAGCAGAGGAGTCACTCGACTCTAGTAAAACAATACATCACTATATACAATATATACCGTATACTTCATTGGCAATGGCTAGATAGTATACTTCAAAATAAGGTTTCCTTTTTATATATCAATTTTTAAAATAAGTTAGGGTTAGGTAAGGGTTTAGGTTAGGTAAGGGTTAGGTTAAGGTTAGGGTGAGGGATAGCATTAGGGTTAGGATTTAGTTTTGAGTTAGGATAGTTTTTTTTTACGTTATAAAAACGGAACGAAACCTTATTTTGAAGTATACGATCACCTATACTCATTTCACATTCTCGCTGGCGGCTCGGCATTGTTCGTTAACTTTTCGAAAAATACGAGTCTACGGTAATTCAAGGCAGAGCATAGGCTCCCGAAATAAAAGGTCTTTTATTTTAAAAAATCCATACAACTTGCTTTAAAATGCAATGTTTTGACATGCTCTGTATAAACTTGGGGAAACTGCTCAAAAACACTTTTACTTCGCATTCTTCGACTGCAAAAGCGTGCAGCACGTATTATTCTAGACGCTGACTTTTCTACTAGCTCCTTCTGTTCTTCTTTTTTCCCAGATTTGAATAATCCCAATCTTCGACCTTGTTAAATTTAGAAAGCTTCTCTTACTAATTAACATTCTCACAAATCCCAGTGCTCCGTGATCATTTAAGCAAATGTTTAAATTATTATCCTGTATTCGACAACGCACAACGGGCTCTGACTAGAGCTTGCGCATATGACCTTCGACCCCCCTTCCCCGTACTGACTCTGGCAAACCAACATTTCTGTACAGTGCTTCCATTCTTTTTAATTGCTTAGATAGCGATTGTAAGCAACTTGCTGCTTCGCCATATTGCTCTTCATATACTAACGCCAAACAAAGAATTCCGCTTAAAATCTTTCTTAACAAGCTTAACCTTACTATAGATTCCGAGCTCGATTCCGAGCTCGAATCCTTGGCTCGGTAAATAGGTATCCTCACGATAAACACAGTTAAGAAAGTAAATTAATATCACGATTGTTCTAAAAGATAAAATAGTCTTGGGGCCCATTGTAAGCAGGACGGATAATGATTTCTTCAACCGTTACAAAATGCTTGAAAAGCTATAAAACTCCGGTTAATCCCATAATTAACACTGAAAGCAACTTGAAATTTATATACTATAATTGGGTTATACCAGTCAAATTAAGAAAGCTTGATCCGGTGGATAGCACTATGCGGCTTTCGTATAATCGATCCTGGCATGCAGTATAAATAACATCCTGATAGAACCATGCAAAAATATCCCGGTTTAGCATCAGCGCCCGCAACTGTTTTTCGTGCCGCACGGACGTTTTAATTTTTTTTAACTGAATTAAAATTTAATGTTTTCCGCAGTCAAAACTTGCGTTGAACCCACCTTTTCTTGACATCGATCGGTCTAGATAACCCAACCAACTGTAGCTATATAACTACGACTACGTGCGACTTAAGCTGATTTTAGGCGACTTACGGCGACTATACGGCGACTATACGCAACTAGTAGTATAGGCCTTTTTATTTTGTCAACCACATTTGCAATTGATTGTTATATTTTATACTGTTTCGATTTCCTGTATACATGCAAGCACGTATATATATATATGTTAACTATTAGATGCACGTGTAAATGCTGTTCGTAGTGAAGAACATGGGACGTATATTCCAATGAATATTTTTCCATATACTGTAGACCATATACGATTGTGATGCATGATTTGAATATTTACTAAATTTGTTTCTGCAATAAAAAAATCCGTCCGCAAGCCTGCTATATACTGATGATAAACCGGGATATTTTTGCATTGCCAAGAACAGCATTTATAGTTTTACTTTACACGTTTTGCTATTAAAAGCGATGGACACAATACAGTTATACAGCCTATCTGCAGTGTCACAAATAAATGAAACACAAATTATATATTGGATGGATGAAGTATTCTACCACATGGTATGGAGAGACGAATTCACTCCAATAGCCTACGTGGTTCCAAATTGTTTGCTGTATTTGAAAATATCAGAATCATTAGTCTGCGGTTCAGAAACATAAAAGAATAGTGGATGTGGACAGAGACGTAACTGACCGTTGTAAACACTGCGGAAGATTACGTTATCATGTACCCACTTTTTTTCAGGCGACCGGGCGAAAAATGATCAACTGCGCGTGCTCAGCAAGTTTAAAGTGAGTCGTCATCAGGTCGTCATCCAATCAGATGCATGCATCTAGTACTTGCCGAGCATGCGCACAAAAAAAGTGGGTACACTAGTTACGTCTCTGTATGTCTCTACTCTGTGATGTGGATCTCCTAACGGAATAGTGGATCTCCTATAACGGAATAGTAAATTCAAGATGTATATATAGCTATATATAGAAACACATATT